TACTTTTACCACTTTCATGGAGGATATTGTTGTATGTGTGCTAAGGAAAGACAGAGATAGCAGATTCCATCCTAAGCAGATTTCCTTATGTTTTGGTCTAAAGTCCTCTAGTTTATTTTCTATCTATGTAGGTTAGGGATTCATGCTTCTTTCCACATGGCATGAATATTGCATAGCAATATTAACTATTCCAAATTAATTCTTTCTCTGCCTCCCTGCAAGTAAACCAGAGTTTTCAAACTGTGTTGTAATAAATTGAGCAGGACCCTCAGAAACTTTATAGGAATTCTTTCAGGCAGAAAATCTGTAATGGCAGAGTATCTTTACTGATGTGGGGTTCCAAATTTTCAAGAGGAAGAATTTCATTATTTTTCATATAACGTGTAGACAAGAACACACTTGAAAATCATCTGCAACATGGAATAGAAATTCACTGGCAATTGTGCAGAGTAGGTAGATACAGAAGCAGTATCAGATGTTTATAAAATATTCAATCTTTAGTTTTCTATCATAAGATCCAGGAGGAATTGCAGTTTACTTTCCACACTGTTAAAACTATTGTACTTTCCCTATGGGTTCATCCTATGTTCTGTTTCCAGTTGGAGTAACGTACATGGACAAACCCAAAACTGAACAGATACTCCATAATATCTTTAACAGTGGGCATTGTTTTATAAAAAAAGATGTCTGCTTGGACCCTAGATCTGTCTAAAAATGCCACTCTTTTATTTGAAATCTCTTCCCCCATCCTGTGATGTGTGGAAGAAACAAGCTGCAAATGGTGTTAAAGAGAAAGCTCCAAATTTTCATTTTGTTCTGGAAAAAGCCAAGTTTAAAAGACTTGTGGAACTGCAAGGAACAAAAGCCACAGTACTTTACAAGAGGTGAATTATGATTATTCAAACTGTGTGCTTCTTCCGTTAACTAGGTTAAAAGGAACATTTCAAGGAAGATTCCAGTATCTGACAATGTGTATCCAATTGCAAGCATCCACTCTGCCATAAACTCCCTAAAGGCAACCTTTGAATTTGTCAGTCCTCAGCCCTGAGAGGAAAGTAGCCCAGCCCTGAAACTTTAAGACTAACATCCCACACCTAGCAGGTCATGAAGCTCAAAGTCTCAATAGAATCCTTTTACTGTTTACAGTGAGCCACTTTTATATTTTGAATGTGAAATTCAGCAAACTCAGGGAGGCAGTGAAGGACAGGAAGGCCTGGTGCGATATGGTTCATGGGGT